AGCGATCCCGATTCTAACTCTGAAGAAGGCATATCATGTTATCTTAGTGAGAACCGTAATGACTTTGCTCTTCAAAAATACAGTTCTCTACTCTACGGCCTGTTTAACAGCAGAGCATTTGATTTTGAAAAAAATGCTGACCTGGATGGACATTTGAATGTTGGCCTCTCTTGTGCAGACAATGGTACGCCATCTCTCACCTCTGACTTGACAGTTCGAATTCGACTCCGTGATCTTAATGACAATTACCCGCAGTTTGAGTACCAGACATTCATTTTCACTGTGTACGAGGATATTCCAATAGGATCTGAGATTGGTCGAATAGTTGCACGAGACGCTGATAGCGGTCCAAGAGGCAAACTCAGCTATTGGCTTGGTGCTGATGACCCAGACGATCTTGATCTTATTGAGATTGATAGAGAAACGGGAAGAATTACATCAAAAGTGGCATTAGACCGGGAGGAGAAGGACATGCTTAATTTTCGTGTAACAGCTGCCGATGGAGGAAATCAAGACACTCATCAAGGATTCGAGGAAATACCCAGAGACGCAAAGACTAATACAACTACCGTCAAAATTCGTCTGTTAGATGTAAACGACAACGCACCGCAGTACATGGGTGAGAAGGAGGTTCATGTACGTGAGAACAACGAAGAAGGTTTTGTAATCCTCGACAATCTTCCCTTTCAAGACAACGACTTAGGAGAAAATGGAACTATCAGATTATTTCTCACTGACTATGGCTACGATGCTGTGGAGTATCTGATGCCCTCTCATTCCAGTGGGATGTTTTCCTTACTCAATGACAAACAATTAATTTTAACCGAGTCAGTTGATCGGGAGCAGAATGCACATATCTTTGTGCGAATAATCGCAATGGATGGAGGACGAGTACGCCAGCTAACTAGTACCACCACCCTTACCGTCATCGTGGATGATGAAAATGATAATTATCCCCATCTCACACATCCACCAAACGCTACCATGCTTTCTGGTCCCACAAACCACTATGAAACTATTGATGATCAAGAGAGTCGCACAATACCGGTGGATACGCCCGTTGGTAGTCTTATCACAACTTTGAGATCGCGTGATCTGGATTCTGGGGATAATGGACGCGTTTACTACCACCTTCTAAAAGCCGAACCCCATGAACTCTGGTTTCCCACACATCAAAGTCATGTGGGGCATAGCGTGGAGAACTCTTTGCAGAAACACAAACTAGTCTTAGATGGTAGCCAGTACTTCAAAATCGACGAAGTGGACGGTCATTTAAGGACTGCTTGGTTGTATGGAGCTCAAAATGACCACACGAGTAGCAACACTACAGGAACTCCATCTTCACCACCAGCATTTGGTGTGCATGTTATTGTTGTTGAACTCAGAGATGCTGGAAATCCGTCTTTGGCAACGCGAGTAATCCTTTATGCCAATGTCACCGAGGCTGCGAATTCGGGGTTCTTTGGACTCTCAGGATTAGGTTTTGGTGAAGCTGGTCTGGGAAACACTGTCATTTTGATTCTCATTATCGTTTGCAGCTTTGCTCTTATAATCAGTCTTACGGCAGCAATATTTTGGGTACGGCTTAGAGTTTACACAAGTAATGGTCAGTCCAATCAGACAAACGGTATCAAATATCAGACAGGTTGTATCAGTGTCTATCAAGACGGCTTATCACGAGGTCCTCGTGACGGTGGACTTGGTTATTTGGATAATGCAGGAACCTTCAAGCCACTGGAAGGTATTCGATGGAGCACTCCAAATGTACTCGATCCATTAAGATATACAGCACATACTTCCCCAGACATCGGAGGTCAGGGCAATAGTGGGAGTTTGGCATTCATTGGAAAATCACCAAACGGATATTTGGAATCCGAGGAGGTGCAAATGCTTTCAGTGATTCACCCCGCTGAAGCTGAGGGCATAATGATGCGAGGTTATGATCAGCTGATTGTGGGAAGTGGAGAACAATATGAACTCTGCTTCCCCGAGGCCGTTCCAACTAACTTTGCTCAACTCCAAGCGGGTTCAACAGAGAGTGACAGTGGATTAGACAGTGGAGGCTACATGATTGGGCACGCATCATCGCCATCTCCCGAGGGGGCCACAGAACACCCCTTGGGTCCGGCTTCCGAATTGAGCGTCCCCTCGACGTTTAAGCCCTCCCTAGGTCGTGCCCATGTCCACCAGCCCGTCGGGTGCAGTACAATAGCTGCCGATGTGATTAGGCAAAGTCCGAGCAAACAGATTCTGCTCGGAACAGCCTGCAATACCATGGACTTGGGCGCTCTTCACAAAGGTCTCGGCTACATTCCTCGCGATTCTGTAGGTCCTTTAAACACTTACTCTCAATATTTTAAAACTGGTCTTGCTATGTACTCCTCATTGAAACAATTAACCAAATCCTATTTAAACTATTAAATTTATCGTGAAACTCAAAGGCTGAAAATGCATTGCTATGATAAGACCTGGCTAAAGTATTAAACACGGTTCTTAAATTTATGGTATACGGGCTTTATGCCTTGGAGATGTCAACCCAACTCTTGTGGAAATTTTACTGAGGTTGGTTTTATTAATGGGATTATTTTGTTTCACTTATTTAACAGCTGATAGCCAAGTAAATCACTGCATTCAGATAAGCTGTGCCCTGGCATCAGTAGGGGTTGAAAGTCACCACAAGGTGCTGTTTGGATAACCTCACTCCACTTGCAATACCCCTGATTGCACAAACACACGAACTATTAATTAAATTAACTGTTTAGCTATGCTTTCACCACGGTCTGAGGAGCGTTTTAGTTAATTACTCGTCCCCTCGACTGGGATGCAGAGGCGAGTGGTGTGCGTGTGCTCCTCCAGGTCCGTAAAATGGGTTCTCTTCTTTTCCCCCCAAAAAACGACTACTTTGTAGCCTGTTCTGTCAAGACGACCACAGGTAATCAGGCTAACATACATGTTTGAACGGTTGCATAAAAAGTGGATAAGATACATAACATTTGTCCGGGCTAGTAGTCAGTGTTGAACAAAGACGAGACTATTTTATGGCTGGTTTGTGTATTTATTTACTGGCCTTGTGCCATGCAGGTCCATAAAAATTAACAAATTTGGCCCAACTGTTTTGAAGATAATAATAGAAGTGTGCACCAATTTGACAATATATTCCACAGTTGTAATCTTTCCATGAGTGAAGAAAATACCTTTGGGAATAATGTGTACTGAGGCTTGTGTCGTTATTACCATTTAAAGCAAAGTAGGAGTTGTTTGACATTTTTGAAAGGTGCATGATAAATATTTCACAAAAGACTATGTTGTCGTTCAAAGATAACACTTCCACTTTTCTATCTTTCATTTCCATGTGCGTAAACATGACACTTTATATTCACCTTTTAGTGCTGAAGTTTTCCCCCAACGTCTCTACAATTGTACAGCAGGACAAAGTCCTACACCCTAGTCTATACAAAATTTTTTTTCCGTTAAGGGTTACTCATACTGCCCAGAAATGTACCAATGACACCGCCTTGGATCAGATGTGAAAATTTATTATCACCAAATATTATAACAGATTCCTAATTCATTCTACCTCGAGATAGGAAGGCGAGCTAGTCATTGTCCTAGTAAGCTTTGAAGTTGCAGTAATTTCCGATTCCACTATCATCAGGCAGTCCTAATAAGAAACTCATAAAATCAGGTCAGTGGCATTCAAATTGGCCTTTCATTTCTAATGCGGCCTCAGGTCTCGTGAATTTTCGGTTTTTCCGCCAGTCAGTAGAGGCTTGTTAATTATCTTCGCCTCGAAGACTTCATTTCCCACCTCCACGTTGACGCAAAGCACACAATTGCTTGCTGAAGGCTTCGCAGTTGATTGGTTTTGTGAAAGCTGCTATGTGGTAGCACGACTTCGGCCCATGCACCTCCGTACCATTGTTGCTTACGTGATGCAATCCTTCACTTGTACCCAAGACCAATGTTACAATGCTTGGAACAGCTGGTCAAGACGGTCCTCATTTTACTTGCTACACACACCATCTGCCTTTCAATGCGGTTTCACATAGTTGATGCATTCATAAGCAAATTTTTTTTTGTTGCCATGCGTCTAGACTCTTTTAAAATTGCCTCCCCCTCCAATGCCATTTTTAGTGCCTCTGCTTGTTTTAGCTATCAACTAATGTATCTGTGGCACAATTTTTTTTTAGATTTATGCACGCAACTAATTTCGAGATTCATCACGTGATTATTTTCTTTTTGCCTTCTACAAATACAATATTTTATGCTTGTGCAGAGTTCAATTGCTTTAGACATAAGCATAAAGGCACTTCAAGGTTCTGTCGCTCTCAACTCTGCGATCACGTCGCACAATCGCGTAGTCCAAGTGGACAGCAAATTTCAAAGGAGTGTCCCTGTAATTTAGTTGCTTGTGTAGGGAATCAATATGGTAATTTATAGTGCACCAACTCAGTCGAAAGGTAATTAGACACCTTCCAAGCATGGAACTCATAAAGTGGGTGATGCACCTTTTCAGCTGAAAGCAGCCCACCTCAGTAAAGAAATAATGGCCTTTGCTTTGAAGGTTCGGCATATTGCAGGCCAAAAAAACATCTAACTACGCATATGCTCTTTGATATAAATTTTATTGCAGCTTCGGCCAAAAGATCTTACGGTAGTTATGATCCAATACGACTTTTGAGGTTAAGGATTCTCACAAATCCTTCACATACTTGATAAAGTGGCTTTGTTAACGAGTTTTTTTTTATCACATGTCTGTGACACTTTGAAGACTAGGATTTTTTTTTTCTAAGTCCAGAGCCCTTTATGTTGGCGCTGACTATCATTATATGACACAGTCGACGTTATTAACTAGCAACCCGTAATTATCCCTGTGGCATACTTTGTGCAACTTTATTTATTATTGTTATTTTAAAATAAAAATTCTCCCAACCTGCACACAAGCATTGGCTGTCAGTTAATGGCTTTGTAATCATCAGGGATTTCACATGTGTCCAAAAGTTAAAATGGAATCCCTTGAGCTTCCAACTGTGGCACTCTGAACGGTATCATTTTAGTGGGCACAGCATTAGTCCGTGAAGTGTGGAAGTAGGCTCTGGGTAGGACATTTTTAGCTTGGAAAGCAAGTCAGAATAATAATTTTTGTGCTACAACCTATCACTGTGATTGCTGAGGCTTAATGTTAACTTTTAACGAAGTTTCACAATCCTTTCTGCCTTTTTTTTAGGCTAAAACCGGAAAACTTCCATCGATGTCAACCCTAATGACGTAGATGTGTCCCACCCCACTTCTGAAGGTTTTCACAACATCCGGTCGTTCCTCTAATGGATGGTTTCATGACTTCCCAAAATTTTTATTCCATTCACATTGTACAATGCGGCTTTTATTTCCTGCGTCAAGACTTTCCCAGCTTTAAAGAACATCCTTCGCCCCTTCCAATGTTATCGCCGAACTCGTAGTGCTAACGTCTCACACACTGCTGTACAGAAAACGTGCAATAATGTATCAAAATGAATTCATTTTTTATTATTCTGTGTACTTCATTAATGTAGCTAAATCACAACACGTGTTTGTGGTCATCGGTGGATCAATCGTGCCCATTTACGACATCGCGAACCTCCTTTCGAACACTGGAGTGGCTGTGGATGCAGCCTCGACAAGAGTCCATTTTTACGCCTTTCTCACCTCATCTTCTAAAAGGAGGATAATTAGGATGAAACGAATAATGCCGCTTGTACTTTGAACATAAAAGTGTTTGTTTCTTACCCACTTTTAAGGCGTAGCCAAGCTGTCGTTTTAAAGTTTTGCACTAAAAACATAAAATATGGTCTATTCACAAACATGTTAAATATTTTTAATTTAATATGCGTCAGAGTCTTCGCATATAATGCGTAAAGTTGCTCAGCTTAAGTAACTAAAACACGTTTTATGGCTAAGCAGATATTGCATACAAGTGTTGCACAAATTTGGTTAAAATTCTACACAAGGAAGCTAGGTGGTACTGTTCACCAAACCCATCACTGCTGTGATTCTCACTATCCTCTGGGATTTTTCAAACACATGTGAAGACTTTGGATGGACAGACTGTCAAAAATCCCTCATTTTATAGAGGTTAATTCTTTACGATCTGGTGAGTAATAACATTTGATTGATATTTTACTTCGTAGAGTGAAGAAGTGGATGCAGTGAACAAGCATTTTCGCATGATTTAATCCGAGCCTATTGCATATGATAAATGCCGAATCCTAAGGTGGGCTGCTTCAACTCTGCCCAAATACAATCCCTTTCCCTAGGAGGCACTAAGTAATCCTTCACACCTTTGATAGGCAAAATAATGAAGCCTAGCCACCAAAACCTCTCTCACTTCATTTAAGCATAACATTACTCTAATCCTTACAATTATTCGGGTTGGAGTTGGAAATCATAAAACAGTTTTCTTGCTAAGGCGAATTTTTGCAAACAGGAGTGATGCCTCCTGTCTTGCGCACCTACAGGAAAGATGGATTGGACAACGACTCATTCTAATTTAAAAAGGGGCCATAATTTGTGCACAGATGTAAATTTTGGACAGAATTGTTAAAGCACATTTTTACACAAAGTCACCGTGGTGGCTAAAATCTCCTTTGTCTCCCCAAAAAACAACACAATCGCAAAGCAGTTTTGGGTTGACAAAGAATTTAAGTCTCTTGAAACTTGAACTTTCAAGGGAACACCACTGTTTCGTGTAAGTTGTTAGGAGGCGCTACCTCAAGTCACCTTGACATCAATATTAGGCAAAGGAGGCCGAAATTTTATCGAGTCCGTAGTTACTTCCACTAAGTTAAAACCTTAGCAGCAACTCCTTTGCTCTGTTGCATTGTCACAGAAAACAATTAATAGGTGAGCAACAGCCAAAGGCTTTTAATGTCCTCGTGATCACTGGTAAAAAGTGGGACGTAGACAGATTTTTCGCAAAAAAAATTGAGAATAGCTCTGCCTTCCTGTATCAATCTGTGACCTACAAAGCGGAGTAGAACTAAGAGACTTAGCGGAACCATAAAAAATGTAAAAAAAAAAGTAATGAAACAGAAGACCAACCAAAATCATTGAAAAGCACTCTGTGGAGCTGAAAATCCTTCTGTGGTAATAGCAGTAGTGTTCGCTTAAAGGAAGAGATCAAAAGGAGATCATATCCGCCACTGAAACCGATTATTAATGTCTTGCATTTTGATAAACATTCGAGGAATGTAAATCGAGGAATGCATCATGATGGTGGCATTCAAAGTTGCTTCAACTCAGTGTTATTAAGGTGTGCATACCACTTTTCGCACCGGATCCGAAGCATCACTGCACTGTACAAGCGCATCACTCCACCTTAGGCGGAAATGAGATACTCCAGGACTCCACTGTTGAGGTGTAATTGATGCGAAATTTTAACAAGGTTACCCAGGAAAAAAGGGTCCCAGATATCTGTCACCCACCCAACCGTCATTTGTGACTCACCTCCATGTCTTAGCGTCACTTTCAGTTTGCATGGCCAAATCGAGCATAAAGGGAGTAATTTTTTTTTTTACACTCAGCAAAATCTTTGAAAGGGAAAGTTCAAGATGGTAACAATACTAAAAATAGAGAGAGGAGTAAATTAAGAGCAGTGACAGCCCAGTGCTGAGATAACACTATCAAAGCTAGACCTGTCTAAAATTTGCTTCCAGCTTTGCAAAGAGCCACAAACAAGCTTTGCCTCTAAGTATATTTAATTTGCTTGCAATTATGTCAGTGTAGGTAGCTAAAACTGTTGGACTTTTGGTGGTTTACAGGTATGTTCTTTTGCGGTGTGGTCAACATTAGCAAAAGGGACTTTTAATTTGTAGACATACCTCGAGGATGAGAGTAAAATGGGTTGCTTCTACAAACCCTAGCTGGAGGAGAGTGTTGCTGGATGTCTTAAATACTGATAAAAACTCCCTTGTTTTAACGATTGCATATTTTTGTTGCACCATTTAATCATGCCTTCAATCTACAACCCGCAAGTCCTGACCAAAAGCCAAATTTTAATGCGACACATTTGCCATCACATCTGGATATGCATACCTGTGTATGCGGTTGAGTATTTTAGGTGCAGTACTGCAGGAAGTGATGTACGTTGAAAGCCCCTTCTCATGAAATTTCACCGCTCATTATTCATTAGAGGCTAATTAAAAGCTAACTTTACCGAAGCCTAATTAGCATGCAGTTTAAGAGATGGCGAGCACCCATTCATGGGCGGTTAATTAGCATTCCTCTGTGGTAGGGGTGGTCATGACAGCCAAAGGCTCATTTGCACACGGGTTTAGCTGTAGCGGTCCAGTCATGACGGTGGGTGGAGGACGAGGAGGCTTCGGGGATAGGCTTCTTCATCCAAACTTTTTTCTTCGGTCTCCGCCAAATTACTTCTCGAAAATTGCAGCTTTAAAGGTATTAGAAGCTCTGCTTACTCACCCACTATAAAGAGAGCCTGACAAATGAGTGTTTGTAAAGTGAGCATGCCTAATTTTTAACCTTTGTGAGTCTGCTCCTCACTTGGCATGTCTGCAACCGTTGATGTGATGAACGCACTTGTCGTTGCTTCAAGTCGCCTCTATCACCCAGCGCTCTGCACCCTCACCTTTGTAATAAGATAAGTGGCAATTATTTAGCCCTTTGCTGGACGGCGCCGTTGACCTTCTTTTCTATCACTCCAAAACAAAGGTAAGTTTGTGGCCCAGCGCCAATTCAATTAACTCAGACAAGCTTAAGTATTTCAGACAAATTGCTAGTGAACCAAAAATTTTAGCTATTGTCCCAACGAATGTAGTCATTTTGCTCGAAGCACAGTCTAAATAACGCATCATTGAATGACATCCTGATAGCATTAGGCGGACTCAGAGAAGTTAGTAATTAAAATTTTTTAGTAAAACTGTTTTTATTTTTATGCTAAACTACCACCCGAAACTTAAACCTTCTTTTGCTATAAAATAAAAAGCTACATTCCATCAGAGCAAAAAGGGGAATATTTAATGGTGGAGGCTTCCGCCAGTGGGGGCCTGTCTTGAAGGCTTTAGTGGCAACAAATATATATCATGCCCACTACATTCCTTATGAAAATTGTCCCTATCAATTATTCAAATGGTTGTAAAGGCACGCAGGGGGCATTTAACATCCAGTGATTTCTTGCAATCGTTTGTCATCTTCTGTCAGTGAAAACTTCTTTTGCTGGAAAACTATCCTTAAGAATTAAAATGTCATCAA